CCAGCCACGTGGAGGTTGTTCAGTTCCGCCTCGACCGCGGTCTTGATCATCTTCTGAGAATCTGCAGCCTTGGCGGCGTCGATGGCGAGCTTGGCTGCTGTGGAAATGAGGCCCTCACGTAGGGACACCGCCGCCTCGAGGACCGGGAAAAAACCGGGTTTCCTGGGCCGAACCGGGCGAGCAGAACTTGTCCAGTGAAGCTGACCCGGCCAAGGAGCCCAACACGCACCTGTTGATGGCACCCGAGAAGGCCATCAGGTCGGCCGCCTGTGCAATCTCGGAGTCCAGCTCCAGACGGTGGCCAGGCCCGTACGCGTAGTCGCTGAAGGTTGCGGCCCTGAGCATGCGCTCGCGGCTGACCTCGAGGTGGACGAGTTGCCTGTCCAGCTGGTCATAGCCAGTCCTGGCATATGCAAGGACGACATCACAGCGAGCGGGTTGTTGCTCTTGAATGCGGCGTAGACGACCTTGGCGTCCTGCACTGCCGCCGCGCCGGCCGGCGCATTTGCGAACATCAAGGACGTCTTGCCCCTCAGGCCACCTGCCGCCGTGACCGCGATGGAGCGGACGAACAGGTCGCGAAGTGAGGCGACCTTGGTGGATGCGTACCCCACCAGGGCCACGGCAAACGAGGTGACGGAGTGGACGGTCCCCGCCAGTGTGCCGTAGGCCGTCGACGCGACACGGGTGAGGGCCGCGACATTGTCAGCGGTCCGATGCTTGTAAATTGCAAGGTCACATGGATCGACTCAGAGATCAATAAATCAATAAATGGTAAAGTCACATAAATCGACTCATAGATCAATAAAAAGATCACTCCTGAAATCAGACATCTGAAATCCGCATTCGTTGAAAAAGAAAAAACGGAAAATTGTATCAGGTGAGTGCATGCCAACTGCATCATGACGAAGTCAAGGATATGCCAAAAACATTGGAATGCCGCAAGAATACGCAGCTCTATGCAAGCGGTTTTTCTGTATGCATGGTCCGAGTAAGTGGGTCTGTACAGTGAAAAAACGAGACATCTGGGAAGTTGAAATTCCAATTGAATGGTCCTGAATGTGACTGCCCGTATAGCGCTCAGTTGTAGAATTGTAGAAGCTGGCAGTGGTGGGCCTGATCTGAGTGCTCCCCGTCATGGAAGTCAAGACAAGTAGTTAAGGAGCGGATCCGGTAGCGTCCCACCAGGGACCGTCTGGTCCTGTGGATGCTTCTGGGTGATTGGGGCGTATGTTTGTTGGAGTGGGGATGAACATAAAGTGTTGTGTGGTAGATGTTGGCTGGACGGTGTGTGGGATAGCTGCAATGGGTCCAGCAGGGGTGAGTGTGGCGTGTCCTTGTAATGGAATCTGAAGACTGTAAAGTTGAGTTGGATCGCATGGTTGGGGTGTGGTGGTGGGTGAAGGTGAGGGGAAAAGGTTGATGGGTCGGGGTGGTGAGACACAGCTGTTTGCTGCTCGCATACAGGTGTAAGATTGATGTGGGCGTGGTGCTTGTGCTAAACGTTGGAGGTTGTCTGAAAGTGTAAGTGTTGATGTGGTGTGGGTTGTTTGAGGAAAGTCAGGTGTGGTTTTTGGTGGTATGCTTGTGTTGGTAGGAGCAGGTGGTGGGTTGGTTGTGTTGTGCTGTGAAGAAATTGGCGGTGTGCTGTCTGGCTGTGCAGTGTGAGTGGGGTAGGGGTGGATGAGGTCTGCTTGTGATACGTTGGTGATAGGATCATCGGCAGTGTCTGGTGGTGAAGGCTGTGTGCCTTTTCCTTTGCCTTTGATCAATCTGGGTGACATCTGGCTGATGGCTTCCACATGTCCCAGTGCTGCAGTAAAAAGAATGCCAGTCTGATCTCCCATGGGTGTACCCCCGCACATCTACGTGGGTTACCATCCTCGTCTTCGATCACCTTGCCAACATCAAAAGCAGGCCAGTCTGAAATCAATTATGTTCAGCCATCAACTTCTGTGAAGTACCTTGCTGTTCATCAATTGTAAAGCTGAAAGTTGTAGGATTGCTGTACTGCCGTAAAGCTTTGTACACAGGCCACAAGGCTCTGCCCTGTATCAGTAAATTGTGAAAAAGCTTCACAAAACACATTTCGATGTTTTGGATTGTCATCATCAGAGAGCTGTGTCCGAAGAAGGCTGATGTAAGGTGTATACCGATCAACGTGGCATCCATGACTCAATTAACCAGAATAGGCGCTCTTCGCTTTAGCCAAAGCCAAAGTTCACCTCCTTTGTTCCAGTGTATCCCAAGCCAGATGATGAGTGCAGCTTGTAAGGCACTTCTGAATAGTCAATAAGCGTCAAACCTCTCAACTGCCAGCGTGCCAAAATCCGTTGGATCGAGTAATGAAAGTCAGGATCGTCCATCAACTCCGTAGGAACTTCGTATCTAGGAGGAACTGGATCGTCGAAACTTTCAGTCAATCGTTCAAGGAATCTGTCAGGATCCCAAGACGACTTAGTCTTTGCCCTCACAATTCCAGAAAGGAGAGTGTGGACTGTTTGACCATCTTTATTGGGGGGGATCGATCCATGAATCTGCAGGAGGGTCACCTCATGTCACTTTTTTTCCACCTGTTCCACCATGTTCCATACCGTTCCGGGCTGTTTTTTTCAGACGCTCTTGCGGCCTGAAGCGGGATCACCCAATTCCACCTTGTTGATCTGCTTCATGTTCAATATATGTGTCGAGATGTAAAACCCATTCACTCGTTGTACAGGGGTTCGGGCTGGACAAATGCCACACTCATTCATGAACGATCGACGGCTAATCCCAAAAAGGTGATTTCGCAAGTGATCCACGGCCCTCCTGCACGACGCTTGAGACATCAAATCCATTCCTGGATCTGTCCTCCCCACCTTGAGTGAAACTGGTTTCAAATGAGTTGTCATCATCCAGGAAAATAACACATCTTTGAGGATGTTGTTAGATGATTTATGCTGATTTGTTGAGGAGGCAAGGAGCACTGCTGGAGCACTCGCACAAAAGATTTGAGATTGATGTCTGCCCAGATATGGTCACAATACCCAGACACTCCATGGGACTGGCATTTTTACCTACATTGGGGTGGTTTTGGGGGTCAATGGGGCGGCATATGTGGCATACTACATGGAGTGTCTGGGATATGGTCACAGTGTTATGCAAACAATGATGCAAATTCCTTCGTGAAACCCAGTCCCTCCCCCAAGAGACGGGCGACACGCCGGAGTCCCGCCGATGACTCGAATTGACCCGAGCGGCAGGAGCTGAAACTGTCCCGGTCAACACGAGGAAGACCCTTGTGGCTAGTGCACTTCACACTCCTGGAGACGTGCGGAGACGTGCTGTGCTCCCTTTGCTTGAGTGCGGGAAAAGAAGAGAAGATGAAGAAGTGACTGTCAAGTCATTCAAGAAGATAAGAAAAAAACAATGTGACCCGTTCCAGTGTGTTCCGAGCATTGCCACAACATCTCAGGAACAGAAGTGCTTTGACTTTTTGGCTTATTTCACGTCCACCAAGGCGAAAAGAGACGATGCATGCAGTGCCAGTCCACCGAGACTCAAACTATCATGACGTCAGTGAAAGAAATCATGCAGCATACATACCGATATATGATATACCTGGCACTTCCAATGGATGCCCTGTCTGGAGACCTATAAGTAGGGTAGTCCCTATAGTCTATTGGACACCCAAACAGGATGACCCTGGTATGAACATCGTCTCGACAAAGGTAAGCTGACACCTTGTATGACCCTGGTATGACAGGGTTGTGCGGGCTTATACCTTACAAAGGTATGACAGGATGACCCTGGTATGAAAATCCTCTCTGGTAAGCTGACACGATCGTGAATAACACCAGATTGCTTCACCAGAGTGCTTCAGTCCAGCCGGACCGCTGGGACCTATAGGTATGAAGGGCGCCTGGTCCAGCGAGTGAAGGAAGCGGGTCCAGTGAGCTAACTGGGTTCCTCGATCTTTTGTTCTCTAGCTGAGTGGATCTTCCATCGTTCTGTTCTAAAGCCTTTCCCTCACAGGTTCTGCCGTTTTCCAAGCCACACAGGTTGCATCACTGAGCCAAAGTGACTGTTGACCTCGTGAGGTTGACACAAAAAAACAAGTATATATCAAGATTTATCAAGTACTCAATCATCAACAAGCAAATGCTTCAGGTGGCCAACATCTCATTGGTTGCGATCGTTTTCCACGAGCCTTCGACAGTCTCTCGGTCTATCGGTCAACCACCCGCCCCGATCGACTGCTTCGTTCTCCCCTGTGCACGGCTCCTGGCAGCCCTCATGGTCGGCGGAAAAATGGTCGGACGTTCTTCGTGCAGGCAGAAAAGGCTTCGGACGTCCCAAGTCCCGAATGCTTCGGACAGCGACGAAGCGGAAATGTCTCGGGTGCGGTGGTCCGATGTGGTCTCCGATGTGGTCCATGACAGCCAAGGGTTTCACCCTGGCCAGGTGTTGAGGTTGACTGGAAGGGGGGCCTCGACCATGGGCGGCGTGTGGATGTGATTCCACCAATGGAGCTGCCGGGATCGACTTTAACTTTAACCTTCCTTCAAAGATCTTCCAAGGCTCCCTGTACTTGAGTCAAACATACCTGGTAGGCACATACCCTGATGCAAGTACTTTGCTCTAGTGAAAAAAGGGGCGCCAATTGGCATCCTCCAAGAAAACCTGATGCAAGTTCGCTCATCCGATAATCGGAAGAATCGTCCAGCATCTCTTGATATCTCTTGTGTGGGAGTGCATGCTAATATGTGGGCTATAAAACAAGGCCTTGCTGGACAGCATAGCGCAGCAGAAACAGGGTCTGAGATCATGAGATAACTGCCTGACGGTCAACTCCCATCGGCTTTGCGGAATCCTCCATGTCGAAACGCCACCTGAAAACAGTTAACAATTCGAACGCCAACATCTCATTGGATGTCCCAACCAAAAACATCGACCCAGCGACTCCACTATACCCTAACAAGAAGAATCACGGAACCCCGTCGTCCCCCGAATTCGGCCGCCTGTGGGAGCCGCAGGACGTTGCCCAGCCAGGCATAGAGCGCATCGGAGGTCAGGACCGACGAGAGGCCCACGCCACCTGGACGCAGGGCGTGCCAAGGCCGGCACGTGCGCACGCGCGCGGCCACGAGGCCACAAGGCCGTCAACGGCGCCCATCTGGTCAGTTGGAAGCGCCGAAGAACATAGAGGGATGAAATGGGGGATCTATATATATATATAGCTGTTTGGCAACGCCAAAAAGATGCTCTATATTCTTCGGGTGGGAGATGGTGGGAGACAAGCCTTTTTGATTCCTTGTGAATGGCCAGCTGAACTGTGACAAAGTTGAATCACTTCTGCCAACACCAGTGAACCTTTGGGTGGTTTTAAGTTGATTTCGACTTCTAGTCCTGTGCGCTTCCTTCTCGGGTCAACAAGAAGTTTCTTCTTGGGTCGCCTGCAGGGTCTACTCGATCCGTTGCCCACGAGTGTACCTTGGACTGAAGTTCCCGGTTGAATGTGAAGTGCAGGGTCAGTCACCTTCTTTCCGGAGACGGGTGGAGCCCTTTTTCCTATCCTAGATGTTCCCACCAAAACCGTTTGAACACCTCCCAAACCATGGGTACGGTTTCCTGCAGGTTCTCCCTTAAACATCTTAAACCAATTCTGAGATACAAACGATGATCTGTTCACAAAGATCTTAGCCAAACGATGGTGCCCGGCCCCCCCGTCCCGCCTCCGGGCGCTGAAGCGGCCGCGGCAGCACGGATGGAAGAAAGGGTCTCCTGGGCAAGTCTGGATGGATGGTATTGGTAAAGGTGAGATGAGAAGCAAATTTTTGAAGTGTTTCGTGTTGGTGCTCTTGCTCTTATTTATATATATACATACCTCTTGAAGTCCACCTCCCCTGTGTCTCTCTCCCGCACACTCTGAATCTTCTTGTGTTCTTCTGTTGTTCTGACTCTTTATTTGTGTGCTTCGTTTCTCACAAGCTACATTGTACATATCACATTAGCATGATTTAATGGCATGGTTTTGTTGATAACACCACTGCCACTCACACTCTCTGTCACTGTAATTGTATCGAACATGTTTTCACCTACCATGGGGTCTGAAGTCTGAAGGAAAAAATAGCATTAAAAACACACAAACAAAAACACCCCCTCATCCCCCCCTCGATCGGTTTGTTTCCAACGCGAAGACGGACCGATCCACGCCGCTCCTCTCGTACTCGCACAGCAATGGCGTAGAATTCACGATCTGCCGGTGACGACGTGGAGGGGAGGGGTGACGTGACAGGGCGTCGTGGACCCGAGCAACATGGGTGAAGCATCCGATAGACGGGGAACACAAACAATGGGACATGACTCCACAACTGGCGGGGCATCAGCTTCACTGCACAAAAACAAGAAGACATACATATATATATATATATGTCCACAATTTACGACAATACTTTCCACAATATCATTCCTTGATTCCAAGACAATCAACATCTAAAAACAGAGCAGCATCCGACCTTATCGAAAGGCTTCGTTCACCTCTGACAGAGCGTCCACTGGGCCTTCCGGTGCAGAATCACAATCAGCATCTGCCTGCCGAGTCTGGCGGTTGTATGCACTGTGCCTGTTGCCTCAATCCCTTGACGAGCGGGTCCCTGTCCCTGGAAAGCAATCAAGCCACATGTGCACAAACCAAGGAACACGGAACGCAAGGAACGTGTACGTGTGACGTTTTTTAGCATCCAGCATGAAAGTTGTGACATCAAGCATGAGTGGCCCACATCGCTGCAAATTGCTCTACCATGGACAACACCCTTGAAATCCATATCTGATCTGCCAATATTTGCTGGCTTTCAGAATCAGCGTCCCCCACCCTTAGAGGCCCTCTCCATATTCCATGTCCGGCAGCTCCCAAGACATCGACACCCTTGACCCAGATTTGCTGTGACGTCCAGGCGATCCGCAGAAAACGTGCGACACCTGTTCGTCGCGGTTCGTTCACGGACTAACGGAGGACAGGTAAACCGTGCGGACGGGTCGGAACTCCGGCATCGTGTTTTCGCAGGACCTGAGCCTTCCCAGTCTCCTTTAGAGAGGTTTCGGCCTCGTCGAAACCCGTGACGAACGCGCCGCGTAACCGAGGGCCGGGTCCGAGGCGGCCGGGTCGGCCGGGTCCGTCCGGTTGGGGAGGCAAACAACAAGCGACCAAGCGACCATGACATCCCGGGTTCATGACTTGTGTGGTTCCAAAAGAAGAGGTCTCACATGGTCTGTCACTCCAGGATCCGTGTTGGAGCCGAACTCGTAACCAATCGGCGGGGAAGGAAGCTTCCCTTGCTTCCGTCGTGCCCAACTGGTTGCCTCTTTGCAATCAATTTTGAGTGGGCTACATCAAAGATCATCAAAGTACACTGGTTGATGAACATGTTCTCGTACACTCCAGCTTCTTTGTTTTTCGTTTCCGTCCCTCAGTGACGATCACCTTGAAGAAGGTGATCGTAAGGGATGGGTTGACACGTAGGTGCTTCGCAACCAACAAGAGAATGCGGAATTGGCAGTTCCAAAGGCCCCATCCAACGCATCTGCGGACGCATCGGATTCGTCCATCGATTTCAGCAGTTGGACAGTCCGTGAAACATCATCAGATTTCAACGTCATCAGATTTCCAACAGCGTTCCATGCAGCCATGCACTCCTTGTTCAAACATCAAGTTCAGTACAGGATGAACGGTTGCTCCCAGGATGAACAGTTCGTGGTCCTACAGGACCCACAGTTGCACATGGCCGACAAAGGCGTCCATGTTGGGCCGACCTGAAGCCCCTGGGACATGGATGTGACGTGCAGATTCCCGACAAAGGCATGGAACAACTTTGTTGGGGTGTGCCATGGGTGTGCCATCTATCTAGTATTTAATACAATAAGGAGTTTTTTGTGAAACAAACATCGTGCAACTGACAGCTTCAGCATTGAGCACTGAGATTCCGGCCATCAAGCATCCGCTCGAGGAATTTCCTGTTGGGTAGATCAAGGAACATTGGTAAAACTGGTCGGTGGTGCAGCAAAGGGCAAACGGCCAACAAAGCTAGCACAATTTTCTCCCGGCCACTATGACGTTGATTAACAAAGTCAAAGACCTTAACCAAAATAATGAAAACGTAGAGGAATGAATGAACAACAACCAAAAACGTCTACTACAGTAGATGAGCCGATATCTCATTGTATTGCTGGCTTTATAGGGTCTTGCATAGCTTTGCTAATCATGCTAGGCTTGGAGGAGGAGGATCATGTGGAGCTCTCTCTCTGTCTCACCTTGGCTATAATCGGCTAGAAGGAGACAAAGGGACAAGGGGACAAGTTGGGCTCCGACTCACTCGGCCATGGAAGTGGAACTGGCTTGAAGGGAAGACAAGTTTGGCACCCCGGCTCCAACTCAGGGTGTAACCTCTTGCTCTGTTCGATGTGTTCCTCAGGTCAAACGAGTCGTCAACAGTCTTGGTCATGTTGCCAAAAATCCTGAGTCAAAAAAATGTACGATCTGATGTTTCTGGAGCGGATGATGAAGCCATCACCATCCCCATCCTCCATCCTCCAAACTGGCTTCGTTTTCGCACGTTTGGACCCTCAAACCTTCCACCAAAATGCTGCACCCATTCACCCACTCCCTACCAATGCTGGGATGTCTGGGTGTCTGGCAAAACAAGCCACGGCACAACACTAACTTCTTAAACGGTCCATTTGGACTCACCAAACACTTGCATGCATCGCTTGGCGCCAAGCGCCAAGCGATGAGCTTGCTAAGTCTCCCAAAGCACCCTAATACCTCAGGAAGGTAATGCAAAGTAGCTAATTACCTTTGGGTTGTGGATAGTTTAAGATAGCAACAATCCTGCAGGTTTAAGTGTCCTCGTGTGGTGCAGCAACCGGCGAACTGGGAGATCGTTGTCCTGAACGGCCATCGGCTGAGCTCGAAGGACTAGGAGGGAGGGACAGGATCCAAACATATCCAAACAATTCATCAAATACATTTGAAAATGTTATTTTTGCCATCAACTCTGACAAACAACAATTTGCACCGGCATGATACAAGTCAAATGCATGCAACACTATACAATAAAAAATATATTCGAGCCTGTCCCACCCTGTCACACTTCCCAAATCGGAATCTGTGTGGTCTTCCAATAGCAACTGCGTTGGTTCCCCGGCCGGCAACACATCCTATCCAGAAAGAGAATGTATGTGGTCCAAGTTGTCCCGAACCAAAATACCAAAGCCTTGAACTGGTGGCAGATTGTGCAGCTTGGGGGTATTGGTACTTGTTTTGGTTCCAAGCTCCTGGCTCAATGATCAATGGAGTCATTAACTTTGATGTGACAGCAGGATCGTCAGTTGCCGGATTCTCACACTTGGAAAGAGGAGTATACTGAGTACAGTAAACGTGGCATTCGTCACTTTAATGTCTGAGGCATTATACGCATAGTCCCAACTGGCTCTGCTGGTCATCTGCTAGCTAGTCAAATTTCATCGAACATCTTTGAAGGATTTTCCATGGCCTCCTTCAAAGCACCATCGTCCTGTCTGCATCGGAACCAAGATCCGCTCTCAGTGTCTTCTAGATCTGAGCACTTTTGAGCACTTGCTCATCATGTAGAACGTTGCATGTAGTAGCCCCATCCTGATTCCCTCATTGGCTGCTGTCTTTTCTACCAAATCCATCCAAATCCGTTGACCTCAACGACTTGGCTTATCAAGGTCTGGCTTTGCGAAGCTTCGGGATGCGCAGCTTTGAGTCCGTCGACCGAGCAAAGAGCTCGCCTCAATGACTCAAAGAACCCTTTCATTCGTGGCCCTTCTGAAGGGCTCAAGAGAGGCCCAAGAGCTGCAGCAGGGCCTCAACAGCCGACACTCCACGTTGAACTTCCCAAAAACGTACGTGCACCACCCGACGTAGATGGCATGCCCAAATCAGCAGGGCCAGCGTAGGTAGAGCCAGCAAGGTATATAGAGAAGAAAAGGGGGTGATGGAATGCTCAGCTTGCGCATGGACAAAGCCACTGCTGAAACTGCAGAAAATCAGATTGCCCTGTTGAGTTGGACTGTATGATGATGCTCTTATCTCTGATGGCGTAGGTCTCACACGGCTTGGGCTGCTGCCTGTCATTCAATCCAAGAATTATACAGTATAGGCATTTCACAGTTGACTCAATCGAATTCACTCACATTATACCTCATACAGACTCATATGAAATGTGTTGGTGCATGTTCAATTGACCAAAGGCAGAAACCAGCTGATTCAAGGAAACGCACAAACTGCATCACGAATTGAACGATTCTGCAGCCAGTCAATCCCATGTATTTCCATCTCTATTTTCTATCACTTGGACTCTTGGACAAAGATGTCCTTATTGGATGCAACCTACACAAATGTCCAGCATGAAGAGAACAAATCAGCTGAAGCAATCCAAAAGCCATCACTGCACAACCAACATCTTTACACTGTACTGTTGCTAAGCAATTGTTTCAAATCCAACTATGTCATCTATGTTCATCAACCGGCCACATCACCTTCTTCAAAGTGACCTTGAGATCTCCTGCTTGGTTCGGTCACAAACAGGCCTGTAACAGGTCACAAACAGGGACTCCAAAAAAGGGTCACAAGCTGAAGAATCTGGATGATGAGTTTGAAAGCATCTGAAAGCGATACCCCCAGTAAACCCCCCCCAATTGTTGGTGGCAGGTGTTGAGCCTCAACTCAACCTCATGGTGTTGTGGCGTGGTTCCACTGTATGGCCTGAGTTTCTCCGTCGCTGTCTTCCGTTTCTATGACACACGGAGCACTGCGTCAAGGGTCTGGTAGAGCCACTGGCGAACACCATCCCACGCCTGGCGGAAGAAGAAACAGTCATGGCCGCGATGGGCCGCGATGGCCGGAGCACTGGTCTCTGAAGTTGAAGAAAACAAACCGCATCAAAAATCACGACTCACTACTCAACATGAGGTGTTCAGGACCAGGGTCTTACAACACCTGTGGTGAGACCACCTCTAGAAACCTGGAGCTGCTCGAGTTGTGGAGGACCCCAAAGTTGGGCTCCAACTAGCCGCTAGCCTGTGGCGGTGGTTGGGGTGGTGCCTCCGGGGATTCAGTCCAAGGTGGTCTTGAGACGACGTATACCAATTGACCAGAACGCTGGTTCGACTCCGCGATCCCGATTAGCCAACCGGCGAGCACACTGTCCGACGTTCCTTCGCCATCTCTCCCAGCGTCGGATCTCGCAGCGGATGAGGGTGAGTATTCCAACCCCTCACACAGCGGACCGGCCCTCATACCGGCCCGAGGGCCCGTTCCATGAGCCCGTTCCGACACGCGCCACGCACAAAAAGCGCGCGTGTGCGTTTTTGCGCATGTCCAGGAGTGAACCAAGGGTCTTCGTCGTTTGGTTCACTCCTTGCAGTTCACTCCACTTCTGTTTCACATGCCATCCATGTTCCCCACCAAACTCCCGTCCTACCATCTCAGGTTAAACATACTTAAGGTACGAAGTCTTCCCGTCCGGTGTCCAACACTGCTTCGACCGAAACGGGACCGCCGTGGTGTTCGTTTTGTTTGTTTTGCTGCGGAGTCGTTCCGACAAACAGAACAACACAATCTCCTGATCTCCTGACCTCCCCGTTTCAAGGCTCGCGTGAACACGTCGTTGTGTGTTATACTGTGTTATACAGTGGGAAAAACATGGAAAAACAACAATGGCACCCAAAAAATCACAAAAAGTTAGGTTGGGCAGGTGCCTCCAGTTTTGTATGGATGTCTCTTGGTCTCGTCGTTGATCGTGCCTCCTGAATGGCCTGAAGCACCAGAATGGGCCGATACAAGAGGCGGGTCACCTGGCTCTGGTGAGTCGCGTCAAAGGCAAGGCCGTCTTCACGACCTATAGACCAACGTTTTTTTTTTTTTGCTTTCTAAAGGTTGGAGTGGTTTCTGTATCTACCCCACCAGCTGGTGCCCCACACACCTCGAATTCACCTCCTGAATTTTCGTCTTGACCTCCTCTTCGCCTTGACCCCACATCACCCGAAGAGTAAGCCCAGCTTCGGCGTTCGCCGCTGGTGGGTTTTCCATGGTGCCATTGATATCAACACTGCTTCTGTCCCGTTGTACCGGCCTCATGTCTGATCTTGACCCACGCGTGTTTTGCCCCAAAAGAACATCAGGACTGACTTGCTTCACCAAAATATGGCAGGGTCGCACCTATTTCGCCTATTTCAAAGGGTGTTCCTTGGTACAAATGTCCTGGAGGACCCTGCAGGATGTTAAACATACACTACAAGCCTTCGGGAACTCTCTACCAGGCAGCCCTATTAACCACTTCGGACTGTCCCGGCAAGAGGCTCCTTATACTTGACACGGGTCCCTGAAAGGCAAGTGACAGCCCGGTTGAGCTGTCGAAATACCACGAAAACCAATGTTTTTAGGTCAAGTTGCAATTACCTTTCAACTCCCGATCAACAAGATCACATGCAATCAACACATCCAGAACCCTCCGACCACAGGCTGTTTCCGTCGAATTCACCAGGAAGCATCGATCCTGGAGGGTGCTCCAGCCTCCCCATGATTCACTCCAGCCTCCAAGACTTAAGAACAAATACTTGTTCCCCCCTAAGGGGTCAATCCTCTCCTTCCCACAGGACCGAAAAACGCCGACAAAAGTCACACAAACATGGCCGAACCGTTCTTCTTTACGCGGGCGACTGCCGCGACCGCAACTGCCACGAAAAGGACCAGGGAAAAAGCCGCACCTCGCGGCTCGAGACACTCTTGGCACTGAGGTCAGGCTCCTGGAATTCCTCCGAAGGTTGGAGCCGTTTCACGAAGCGCGGGGCCAGCCAGAATGAGACTTCTCACGCGTTTTTGGAAGGAGCGAGAAAGTGTGAGGAAAAACACGACACCGTCAAAGAGATCCCAATGATTCAAATGTGTTGTTTGCTGTTGACAGTGGTGGTCTTTCCTTCCTGTGAATCATGAATAACTCCAATCCATGATATATCTTATTGTGGGTGTTGTGGAGGAAATCGGAAGCTCGTGAATCATCTATAAGATGCTAGAAACAACTGCAAAATGGATCCAATGGTGCTTGCGGAAACAGGACGGAAACAGGATTTTTCCTTTGCTTATATGATGGGATTGTCATTGTAACAAAGGAATACTCGTTCGTTCGAAAGAAAAAACACGGTTTGGACGTTGTTATTGTTCTGTGATGGACCCCAAAACGTCTGCGTTTCACTCAGCCCTTTGTTACCTCACGTCCCCCAGGTCCGCCTCATCCCAGGCGCGAAACCTCGAGGCAACAGCAACACCAAATAGGCCGGTAGGAATGCTATAGGGAAAACACAGATCAAAAAGCAACAACGATGGGTTTCAACGGCTACGTGCTCTGACGCTTCAACATGTTTCAGTATGGCGTGGTTTCTGAAACATGTGTGTTCGGGCACAAGGCTTGTGAGAAAGTGAGAAGTGTTCTGAAGTATTCTCAACCCAGTTCACCTACATCCAGCGTCCCAGTTGGTTTTTCTACATCCAAAGACCTGGGAGGATGGGAGGAGGCCCCAAAAGTCAACCACCTGGGGAACAAACAAACAAACTGGGTAGTCTCGACTTCCACGGGTGTCGCTTGAAGGTCCTTTGCTGTTAGACAGCAGGGTGCAACTTCACGGTGATCAACCAGTCATGGCCCATACACTCCATGTAATGTATGGTATATTGATACCTACAGTACGGCCAGGGGTGCTGCCAGGGGGGTCTGTCTGGGGCGGCAGTCCTATGGAGCGTATGGGTGGTCGCTCCAAGGTCCCGGACAAGGCTTGCACGGCGGAGTCGCCCAGAATGCGGGAGACACTTAAAGCCACCACACTCACCTGAAGGCTCCGGTTGGTGCATGAACTGCGTAAAGCCAAGGAAAGTCCACCTGCTCATGATAAGGATTCAATGCTCGATCTGATCATGACAAGGAATATGACCCACAATGAAGTCCATTTTGCTGTTCACTCTGCAAGTGTCAATGCTCTTCACGAATTCGTGAACTCGACCAATGACTTTTTCAGGATTTTCTCCGGAGTATGAGATTGAGACTGGCAAATGGATTCCACACACTCTCTAGCTTCACCGGCTTCAAGTTCTTCACCCTAAACACTGGACCAATAACTGATGACATTCAGCCATCCCAGTGTCCTTATATGGATCCCCCCTCCAAATGCCCGAAACGGATTTCACCCTACATGGCTTTCACCGACGTTTTGGCCGCACGGATCCTCCGAATACTCCCAACGTCACGAACCAACCTCCGGCTGAACGAACTCCAGGCGCGGCGCGATCCGTTTGGGAGCGCGGAGAAGGATCGCTGAGGAAAGGCGAAAAGAGGATCGGTGGAAACAAGCGATCGCAGGAGTCACAAAGGTTGGGGTGATGTGGCTCGCCCCATCCAGTGGATGTGACAGGGGCGCCCTCCAAGTTCGGCACCCCGTCTTGTGACTGCTGGTTGTAGGAGCGGTGTTGGACCGGCTTCTTGGGCTCCAACCACATCCGAAGGTGGGGACTGACCCACGTCACGTCACCTCAATCACGTTCGAAACGGAGGTAGTTGGAGCACTAGGGGCGGGCGGTTCTTGAAAGGTCTTCTCCACACAGAAGGCGAGGCACGCTTGGTGAACCAGCAGCCAGGCCGCAGGCTACGGACATCTCAAGGGTTCAGCCATCGCCTCCAGCTTATGATGAAAGCTGTGATCGTAGATCTCCGCTCAGTTCTCAGTTTCCAGGTGAGAACCAAAACAGCAGCGTCTTGGAACTGTTACTTCTAAGTGGCTCTTCGTACTATAGTATTTCGTACTTCGTCCAGCTCCAGCTCGTGGAATGTTTGTGTGCATGATGCATAGCGGCCTGTCTGACTTGGACCATCTTCATGTCCTGCCACAAGAGGGGTTGTCATCATCATCTCTGCACCCTCCGGGTAGAATGAGACCTTGCCGCCATTGCCCTGGCCGATCCCACCGATGCCAGGGCAAACTCTCTGCCAAAGAATTGTTGCAAGCTCGTCCATGTCCGAGACATTCCACGTGACTAGCATATTTACAGTACCTACAGACTGTGCACGCCACATTATATCACACATTGTATAGTATACACGTGGCCAAATAATGCCACCTCACTCTTATGGCATGTTTAAATACATTCACCACCTGCCACTTTAAATCTCCATTTCAGCCACCATTTCGAAGACCTGTAGAGTCGGGCGCTGGTATATGTATACAGAGATCTCAATCTGCATGACCGTGTCCGCTGCCGCTCCTTGCTTCGCTCGCTTCCACTGACTCCACACAGGGTGTCAATGACGGACTCTCGAGCCGATGCTTGAAACACAATGATCCTTGGGTATATCCCATTACCAGTAACAGTGGATAATGAAGAAGAAGAAGAAGAATACGATGACGATGACGATGACGATGACGATGATGATGATGATGATGACGATGATGATGATGATGAGCAAAGGCCTTTTTTAAAACTCGTGATATCCTTGTTCCAACTGTTGCTGGCCATGAGATATTAGACTCTCCAGGTCCACCGAGTAAAACCTCTACAGGTCCAGTCTGACCCAGTAAAACGTGGTCCTGAGTCACCCCATTGAGTGGTGCAAACCTGTTGGAAAGGTGAGCTGCACTTTTACTTGTTGGATTTGGATTTGGAATCGAAATCTGTCCACCTTGGCATCGACTCCTCCCCTCCTGTTGCGCCAGCTCGCCTGAGCTCCAGGGCAGTAGCTGGCCATGCAAAGAGGTCGGTCCTTGCCTGGCAGTCCGAGCAAGAAACCTCCATCCAGGAGTGTTCTTCTCCATCCAGGGTCCATGTAGGTTTCATGCTTTTTGCGTGTCAGAGGGACGAACCCCCTGGCCGCCCCTGGTCCAAACCGTCGAACGGGAGGTCGACACACCCGCTGTGTGGAGTGTCTCGTATGGATTCAAAGGACCGAACACACATGGGATGCGGCGAACTGGTGCATAAGCCACCCGAACTGGTGCATGTCATTGGATGTCCGGTGTGTCAACGGACCGCACATGTGTTGCCTAAAAAATGACTTTAAAGGGAGGACATGCAAAACGATGAGAAAAACACACCATTCCAAAACAGTCGATATATATGCTATATATATATTTGGATCAAACATATAATTGCAAATATGTATATATAGAATTGTATGCATTAAGATATAGTATGAGATATTATGAGTGTAATATGCCTCCCTTGACCCCTTTTCAACCACCTCAGCACAGTCATATACGTATATATATTAGTGTGTGCGTGGGCCTGTTTGTTTGGCCCATCCTGTTTCAGGTATGGGACTATTTCTAATAACCCTCTGGAACTATTTCTCTATCCTTGGAACTAATTCTCAATTAGTTTAGAACTATTCCGACTATTCCAACATCTTGGTGACTATTTCCTAAGTAGTATGATTATATAGTTAATAGGTGCCTTATTATTGGGAACTATTTAGATATTCAATTAACTGAGGTGCCCTCCTTCCACTTCTACTCCTCACTACCAAAGTTGTTCAAAACTTTTGAGGGTGTACTGCAGTGGACCGTACTACACAACCGCGCACCTTTTGCCCTATTTAGGTCTTCTAAATGACTAGCCAACATGTGACATGAGTATTTTCTACTTGTAAGCCTCACCCTTGGCCCTATTGTGTTTCTACTACTGTTGAAAACCTGTGGGTAATTGCCAGCCACCAGAATTAATGATTTGGGAATGAGTCTGAGCATGGATGTGATGTATTTGTTTGTTAATGTTCACTCATGCGTGTCCTCTCCATGGTCAAAACTCCTAACATGTGCATTTGTGTGTCACTTCTTTGCTTCTTGTGTGTCATGGGAAGTATGAGTCATACTGTATGACACAAGAATGAGCGCTCATCAAAGTTTCCTTTACGGGACTACTATTATAGACTATTCCTAAATATCCAGGAGTATGACAGAATTAGCGCTCATCTAATTTTCCTTTATGGGGCTATTCCTAAATCTCTCAGAGTATGACAGAATTTGCGCTCATCTAATTGTCCTTTACGGGGCTACTACTATGGACTATTCCTAAATCTCCAGGAGTATCATCTAATTTTCCTTTACGGGGCTATTCCTAAATCCTTGGGAGTATGACAGAATTAGCGCTCATCTAATTGTCCTTTACGGGGCTATTCCTAAATCTCCAGGAGTATGACAGAATTAGTAGAATTAGCGCTCATCTAATTTTCCTTTACGGGGCTATTCCTAAATCCCCGGGAGTATGATAGAATTAGCCCTCATCTAATTTTCCTTTGCGGGACTATTCCTACATATCCGGGACTATTCCTACATATCCGGGACTATTCCTAAATATTTGTCCATGACCAGGCAACCCTAAGATTTTCAGGGCTTGTACAGCTTGCCCCCCTGGCCAGGATGGTAAAGCATCCTGTCTACTCCCAGTCCCACTTGGACAAGTCCCAGGGTGCCCTTTTCAACTCGAGAGAACTGGAGAGTCTAGATATCCAGTACGCCTCTCTGGTAGAAACGGACATATTGAATTGCCTTGGACAGCCTTTAACACCCCCCCCATGCAGACAGAAGTGGATGCCAGGTCCAGTCAGGTTGCATAACTCAGAACTGACTTGACCAGGAAACAAGGGCTATCAAATCCAACTTAGAACTAACTAAGGTATTGGCAACCAACTACCAACTCTTTAACTTTAACATAACTAAACCAAAGGACCAGATGATACAAGTGATGCGGGTACCTTTAGAAATAGTTCAGAACCGTTCAGAACCGTTCTGAACTATTAGGGCGTTGCATTTAAGAAACAGTTCAGAACCGTCCAGAACCGTTCTGAGCTATCCATAGCAAAACCACCAATTAGTCTCAATTAGTCCCAAATAGTCCCAGCCCTATAAATAGTTCAGAACCGTCCTGAACCGTCCTGAACTATTGCTAAAGTATGATGTCCTTTTAGCTCGGAACCGTCCAGAACCGTTCTGAACTATCGATAATGTTTTTTAAACAATAGTTCGGAACCGTTCAGAACCGTCGTGAACTATCCTTCAGCAATCTACCAAAGAAATAGCTCAGAACCGTTCTGAACCATTCTGAGCTATCCATAAGAACACTATGTTTATTTTTAACTTAACTTTAACTGAAGAGAGACTAAGACTCAAGATAGCTAAGACAACTCTAAATTATGAAGTTGATGATTCATCAATACAACAATACAATGATGATATATGATACATGAACTTATGACTTGTGACTCTGACTCATGACTACAATATTCCAAGATTTCAGGTTTCTTTATCAATAAATAGTCCCAGAGCATCTGGGAATAGACCAAATAGTTCAGGAATAGACCCAAAACATTGCACAATAGTTCTGAGCTATGTTATAGATAGTTCCAGGCCTCAACAGGTCAAGAGGCCCTAGCACACCCTAATATATATATATATATATTTATTTACATACACTGTAAGATAAAAATACCCAATATACCTACCTATACATATACCAGTCCCATTAGTCGTGTCTGGCTACTTGATTGGACACCACCCTTGAAACACCAAGGTGTCCAGCGAGATCACCGACGGGTCGACGGGTCCTGTGCACTCCGTCCACGACAGTATCTTCTCCTGTACTTCGGAAAGCCTATACTCCTGAAAACACTGTTATGTTATAGTGACATACATGCGTATGTTCTTACATCCTGTGATCTTTGCATGGTGCAAGTGTTCAAAACTTTGCCCTTGCAACGCTTAGACAAACAAGACATGGGAAACCGTTCAAAGTCCGAATCAATGCCAACCCGAATTAATACACCCAAATCCAATGGTTCACAAATAGCTCACAAATCCCCCTTTTAGCCTGAACCACTCCACACTTCCCAGTTGTGTCTACTCCCAGCCTAGTAAGTTCAAGCCGTACCCAACTCGCGCCACCCCCAGGCTGTCTGCAAACCTCAGAGGCAACTGCTGGCCTGGTTCCCCTACCTCCAACTTGCAACGTTGTCCATGGAATTTCCATGACTCAGCAGCACACGGATGACTTCAGGTCCTCCCACCCCCCCGGCGATCCATGGTCCTCCCACCTTTGGGTCGCCCCGTCGCGGAACGGCGCTGCGGGGTGAAGACGTCGTGGTTCGTTGATCCAACGATGAAGGTCGGTCCAAGGGCAGATGAGGGCGGTGCCTCTGCAGATCAATTACTTCAAAGTTGGACAGACCCAATTGGTTTCATAGTGTTTCAATCATGTTGGACAGTGTTAGACTAGGAAACCAGGTCAACAATTAGTTGGAAGATCTTTGGAGGCTAGAGTATAGCTATGGCTGAAAGCATCTTCTTCAATGTTGCCTTGGATGATGCTTCACAGCAAACTTGACCTACCAGCAGTGATGAGGCTTTATCAATGGCTGCATTGATGGGTAAACCTTAAGGTATAGCTGAACCACGAAGGCCTAAATCAATCCTAAAACAGTATAGGCATATATATATATAGGCATACCGATGTATACGGTATCCCCAAAACATCTGGGATGAGAAAGAAGGCCAAAAAGTCTCTGCCTCTCCCCTTCTGGCATCCCGAAAGATAGGCAACCCTGCTCGGTGTGAATCTGCAGGAACTGCCTGGCATACCTAGAGCCCAGGCCGGCTGGAGCGCTGATTCCAAGTGGCGGAACCCACCAAAGGTGAATAAAGAACACAGGCTTCCAGTTTTTGGAAGAGTTAACCAGGGTCCTCCGAAACAACATTCTTGCCGGTTTTAGGTGTTTATGGGACATACAGCAACATCATCGACGTCCGCAACTAGAATATCATCGAAGATATGTATCCTGCTGGGGCTACCCTTTGGCCCAAATGATGCGATTCACCCAGACTTGGCTCTGCTTGGAAATGGTATTGATCTAAGGGAGGCAGCCCAGTTTGACACATCCACTCGACCCAACGATCCGACAGGATCCGACACGTTCCCAGGTTCCAAGAAGCAAATCCTCAGCAAACATCGATGGGCACCAGGACTCAGTAGGACCCTCAACTGCCTCGACATTTGGGGCCCTCTCTCTCAACCCGTTTGGTCCGTTTGCCTTCACGTGGGCCACCTCCACCACCAGTCGGTGGCACTCGTCCCCCTCTGCATCGCCCATCCAAAGCACCTCTCGGCATCGAGTCGTTCAACCTGATGCTCCATGTCAGCGCTCAGGGGGCGGACCTGCCCAGTCAGGGCGCGGGTCGGGTCATAGCCGTGGCACGGCAGTTGCACGGCGGTTGGCGCGGGGTGTGGGGGGTGGGCGAGGAAGATGCGGCAAGAAATGAAGGTGCCAAGAGGTTCCTTGAGGTTCCAAGGGGTTCTAGAGGTTCCAAGGGGTTCAAGAGGTTCCAAGGAGGTTAGAGGTTGCAAGGGGGTTCAAGAGGTTCTAACAATGTCCAAGAAGGCTTAAGAGGATCCAAGGGAGTTTAAGAGGTTTCAAGAGGTTCCAAGAGGGACCCTATGCAGCTATTCAGCTATATACTGTGTAGTATCATTTGGAGCACACAATCATCAGCACTTTTGGAGACTCACCCATATAGGCCATGGGGCTTGATTCCAGCTTCATCATCTGACTGATGTGAACTGAAAGGTAAGTCCAAAGAAGACTGAAGACATACGGGAACAAATGGTATATAAGTGCTTTATATACATAATGTTTACACCACATATTGTCATGTTCGTGACATGATACAGAACATGATGAAACGAGAACCATAGCAAATTGAATGAAGGCGACTGGTGTTCGGATGCCCGGCCTGGAAGTGGAGTCCGACCGGGCCCTCAAAGCCAATCTCCAATCCTGGCATGTGCAGCTTGCCGAGCTGAGCCCCTAGCATCTTGCTAGCAAGGATGAACATGGGAAGCACCAGGATGTTCCATGTCCTGGTTCTTCCAAGTGACCTTTTGACATCCTGCTTTGAGATCACTTGGGCCTGTACAGTAACAGGTCACTTGGTGACTTAAAAAAAGATCACTTTGAAGAAGCTGGGTGATGTTATAGTTGCTTCTTTACCTACAAGACAAACGAAGCACAAATGCATCATCCTGGTCTGTGACATCTGTTCCAGTCTTTACTTTGAGAAACAATCACGTGGACCACGTCTACAGGACAAAGTCTCCAGGCCCTCCAGGCTGGAAGAAAAGAGTCCGTGCGTGAACCTCGCACCAGTCCATCTTCATGTGACTGACATATAAATATGACCTTCGGGTGGTGGATTTCAGGGGCCAAATGGGGTCGGTCTTACCGTCCTTATGACGTCTGCCTCCAGTCCCAGGTCGTGTCGTGTCCAGTCCTTCGGCCCCTTTGGTGCCGACCGGCCAAACGGGGGTGTCCTTTCACCGCTGCTCTCCGCATCCGGTCCAGCCTTCTGGTCGAGGACCTCCGGTGGGCCACGTCGGCCTGGCTCCGAAGCGAAAAACGACAGGTCCGGGAAGGCGAGCGAGCACGAACCGGAAGGAGGCTGAAATCGGGGGCTGGAACTGGAGCAAACATGAAATTACATCCAAAATCATCCAAATCAAATGGCGGAATTGGTGTTCTGGATGGTGTTTTCGACTTTGGGAATTGAAAAGCCTGGACTCGATGACTCCTGGCGAAGGATGTCACCATCATCGAGCCACCCCAAAGTTCAAAGGCTCTCGCGATGCTATTCCCTTGCTATGCAAAGGGGACCTTCTTAACCTCCGCCAGCACACCCACTCGGAAAGATATGTTCGAAGTCTCGTTCGGTTCATTTCTACCCACCATGGTGAACCTGCCTCAGCCGCCCTGCAAGCACGGGATTCTTGTTCAGCACGCGCTGGAGCGCCTCGGGGGCGACGGCGTTGGCCCAAGAGATCGGGCGCCACGACGTTGGAGGACGTCTCTTGCCTGAAAATCCATGTATGGAAGAGTTACACTCCCTGGACTTGGAAGTGGATGCCATGGCCCCGAGTTCGGAAGACCATGAAATCCACTACTCATGAGGTGGTGCCATCCACTTCCATGTTAGTTCCAGGGAGAGTACATTCACTGACCCCAATGTAGTAACCCCAACGTAGTCACTATATCTTCTATAGTCCCATGGATCGTGCTGCTCAAAAACGCGATCTCACGATCCACTGTGCATCCTTCCCCACTCGTTCGTGGAGAGTCGTGTGGAGTAGCCGCGGTTTCGTTCGCCCTCAAAGCCATGGGCCCTTGAGGTGCCCAAGGAGATGTTTGGTTCGCATCGAAGAGCTGAGAGGATGTGTTTTATTTCAAGCAGCTGTACGGTCTAGCCGCTAGCCGCACAAGCACCGATTATCACCGATTGTCTTTGTTCATTGGATGGACATCGGGCCCCATCCTGGCGGTAGAGGAACACGACGGGCTAGACGAAACAGTTACATCGTTACATCTAGTAGTCTCTTCTATAAGACTTGGGAACTTGGAAGCCAACCAGTTGTCAACCCGTTATTCAATGTGAGCATCGGGATTGACCAATGACCTGCCCTTCAATACCTATTACTTGCTTTGACTTCGGGAGCCCTGATGCCATGATGCATGGACGTGTTTACTTGTTGTTCCTTTTCCAGACCAGGCTTGTTTGGGAGCTTCTCATCACCCAAAGAGGTAACCCCATGCCATGGATCCAAACAATAACTATGACACCTGGTTCTGCAAAGTGACCGATCTAGATATCCTGGTTGGTTCGGTCACAAGTTGACAAAGAGCCCTGTGTCACAAAGAGGGATTCCAAAAAACACAAACTGAAGAAGCAGGAAACCTTCTTCATCTCTGAGACCCAAAAGTACCTGAGAAGTCTTGGACATAAGCAGCGCCACCGTATCCATCGCGAAACACCGGCCTCCCGCAGCTGCTCTGCCTCTGGCCTCGGACACCAACGGGTGGAGGGGGTCCAAGGACTGAGCACTGATCCATTGCCCGTGTTGGCCATGTGCAAAACATCCCTAGGGCTCCAACCATATCCTCAGAAGGTGGTTAGACCCCCCAAAGCCACCCCCCTAACCATCTTCTCAGGAGGTGGTTGGAGCCCTAGAGGGCATATACGTTACTACAATACGTAGTGCCGTGCAGGTTTGCGTGTGTCACCTTAGCCATCCTTAGCCTTAGTTCATGGGAGCATGAACAAGAGAGTTCTCAAAGTCCCAGCGTTGAAGCGTTGGACCCCTTCTGCTTAGGAACGCATCGAACCCCTGCAGAGTGTCAGCCGGCCGTTTCTCAAGCTGTGTCAGGACCTGTCGACCACCTGGCCGGACTCAGGGGCGACCGGGTGTCCTTTTGGAGTTCATGTTTGCGAGCTTGATGCGGTTATAGAGTTGGAGGCCATGGCGTTGGAGGGTTGGAGGGTTGGAATGTTAAACCAAATGCGCTTGGAGGGTTGGAGGCCATCGCTATTAGCTTGGAGGCGATGGCGTCGAGTGCATTTGGGGTTGGCAGCCACCGCACGTCCGTACGTCATAGTACGGAACCGTACCCGGCCGTACCACGGACTGGAAGAGAGTTCCAGCTGACATCCCGGACACTGCTGCCAGGCAATGGCAAACTGTCACATGTCGAAAAGAGCACCTCAGCGTTGTGTGGCAGGGACGCTACTAGGAGCAAAGGGCATGGCTACTAGGAGCAAGGACGCTAACTAGGGGCTCCTGGCCTTACTACGAACGGAGCAAGAAAGCTGGCCTTAGAACGAACGGCGATCGGACGCTACGAACGGAGCCAAGGGCATCGCTCCGAACGGAACTCAGAAGCTACGAACGGAGCTCCTGGCATCATGGGTCCATGACGTACGATCCCGTACTCTCCGATCGATCTGTGTGGACGACCCGATCGGTTGGTCCGAGCTATAGCTTCACTGAACGCTCTAAAGATTGACACAGTCAAAAACAGCGGGGATGACTCCTTTCCTGGTTGAAAGCACAAGGTATAGAGTAGTAGATATATATATATTGTTCTATATCTTGGGACGCCTCCACCATCGTTTTCTTGGACACGCCTCGTCTTTGATCCGGTTTGGTCACCACTTCATGGACACCGACCAATGGCTCCGTTTTGGAAGGCAAGTCCACCAATGGCAGTGTGTTTGAATAGGGAGATCCTCTGGGTCAAATTGGTTTTGGTATCTTTTGGTCTATGAGTCTATGAGTCTATATGTTCCTTCTTCCTGGGGGTCGTTCAAAAGGGTCGGTCTAACTGTCTTGCAGTGGTCGAAACATGCTAGCCATTTTGCTGCCATGGTATCACTCTTCAAGGTTCCCTATCGCTCAACACAGTCCCAATCAAAAAAAGACACCAAACCCCCACAATCTCTCTCAAACCTGAGGATTCTTTGTGGTTTCTCTTGGAAGCTACCACGTGTAAACAAGCAGTTGTCCAAAAGCCACACTGACCTTTGTTTCACACCTCAACTACTCACACCAAGAACAACACATCACAAATTAGACATAAAAAACATCCATGGCCACAGAACCGCAGTTTCCTCGGTTGACCCCTCTGAGTGAAGCTCTCTTGTATCTCGGCCCCGTTTTAGTGGACTGCACACGTCTTGCTGGATACAAACCTCGATACATGCAGTTGCGTGACTACGTACTAGCACTGTAGACCTTCAAAACCCCGCCCCTTCTAAACCCAGTTCCTCAAGAGCTCGGACGAACTCGCTCGGTACGGACCGAGCGAGTAGAAGCGCGACCAGCGAGTCCGATTGCAGCTGCTGCTTCGTCGAGTCCGAGGCCGGCAAAAACAGGCTGAGGGGTTTCTGGTTCCACAGCTGCTTCCATTTCAGCGATTCTCTCTTTCCATTTCAGTCCGTATAGGTATGTCATCTCTGTGGATATATATGGGGGTGGATCTTGACCTGATTTGATAGAGGATATATCCACCATGATTCATGATGGTAGAAATTGGTAGAACAAGTATGTCCTCTTTCCCTTCAGTATGTACTTGTTCTCTTTGGTCTGTCTCCGCTCTGTGTCGCATGGGCTTTCGAGGCGTCGCTTCGCCCGGCCGCCGTCGCATGGGACGGCTGTTCGAGGCACGGCTGTTCGAGCCGTAAGGAGTGCTGTGGCAGCTTCTCCTGGTGAGAACAATGAGGACTATGACTACAGCATCAGCAGGTTTAAAGGAAGTGTTTCTAGTC